GCTCTAATTTTATGCAGGGTGTGTCAAATAATAGTAATGAAGCTCATTAAGCAGGTGCACTAACATTTTTCAGGTGTCCTCAGGTTGACCCTGGTCTGAGCTGGCTTGACCCTTATCTTGATTTGGGGGTCTTTTTGGAACAATCCACTTATTTTTTATTGGCTAAGCGCGAGCCCACCTACAGTGTACTACTTCCTGGAGCTGTTGTTCTTTAAATCTCTGCATTATTCTACCTGTGGAAACACAAGCCCTTCTAACTCTAACACCAGTGACAAGAACCAGTAGCACAGGAACCTCCCCATTCCACCAGTCTACAAGTCATCTCACAGAAATGCTAGCAGTTTATAAGTGTCCTGGTTGAGTTCCCAAGCAAGTCATTTCCATTCTCTTGTGAAGAATTTGTAACTCTATTTGAGATATGGAAAGCTACACTTTACCAGTTTGTGTTCAGAAATGAGAAGGTATGCTGTGTTCATGAGCCTAGCAAGGTTTACCAGTAGTTCTCTGCTTTTAATTTCAAAATCCTAAGATTGTAATAGAGCCTGAGATTGAAATGAAAAATGATATTCACCATTCTCCAGCCACTGTGTGTCAGTCTTATCTTGCCTGTAAGCCGTGTTTCTCTTATCCTTGTTTCAGTAAGTATAGTTCTTGCCTTTGTCATCCATCATTGCTAATCTCATTTCTATGAAGGAAGTATTTGCACAATGTGTGTTAGATGGGAACAGCAGGGGGAAATGGAACCCATCTATGTTTGAGGAAAAGACCCCTGTGCTCTTCATCTCCACATCCCTGAAGAAATCATATAAATCTTGTTATACTCATTAAACTAAGGAAAGAATATATAAAGCACAGAAAGGAACATAAAATTAAAGTACATAAAAAAACAAGTTGAATATGATGTACTGAAGGCCCCTTCCTGCCATCATCCTTGCCTTCCTCCCAGCCCTGTACCCACTGTGCATCACCTTAATGATGAAGAACTTCAGTGAAATGGTTGTGTTGTAGAGGAGAGAATTGTGTTCAGCTTCTGCCTCTAAAGGCTTTGGTTTTTAGCTAATCTACTACAAAACCACCTAATTTGCCTTGCCCACCACTAACTTCCCCCACCATCCTGTACAATGTGCTGATAATTATTCAGACATCTGTGACTGGTTCTGTGGAGCCTTTTGTAAGTATTGGTGGCATAAAAGACAATAGAGTTGAGTGCACCAGTGACTAGATGCCTCTCAGACATTGCAGACCTTCCTGTAAATCCTCATGCTATCCCGGAGTGTTAGTCAAAACAGATTAATGCCCAGTATTATAGGTCAACAAAGAAATAGAATCATCAGACCTTTAAGGCTAATAATTTATGTCTGTATAGGTGATAAAAGGATAAAGTAAACCATCGTTTGTATCAAGGGACTCATCTCTCATAGTTCTTCTGTGCCTCAACTTCCTTATCTGAAATATGCAGGCGACTTCTGGTAAAACTGAACTCAAATCCTCTAGCAAAGATTTAAGAGAGAACCAGGTGCTCTCTTTTCACTGTATACTTTCCACTGTATGTGAAAATGGCAAGAAACCTATGTGTGCTCTGGTGAGGGAGGGAGGGATGCCAAAGGGGCTTGATGCCAGCGCACTCTTGGCCTTGGCCTGTGGGAACTGAAGCAAGGGATGAAGATAGATTCTAGCAGGTTACAGTGCAAGGAGAATGAGGTGGCTGCCTGGGGCCCTCAGAGAGGCCTGAAGCCAGCAAGATCTCTAATATCCTGTGAGAACCACCACAGGAGATAAATCAAATTGGGGTCCACCCAGGGAAAGAGGGAGGCACGGTTCCCAGAGTAGGGGAGGTCCGAGAATTCTATAATTAGTATGATCTCCAGTATTCAATGCCTGTACCAAGGGATCCAGGTGATAGGGATGAGGCAGAGGTACCCCGGGGCCCTCGAGGAGACAAAAAGCCAGTGTAATCTCTGATAACAAGTTGAATCAAGTCAAGGCTTTAGCAGGAAACAAATCCAACTCCTTGTTGGTGATTGTGCAAGGAGGAGACAGAGGTGTGGCCAAGGCCAGCATCTGTATTGGGCTGCTAGGAGACAAAGACAGAAACCAGGGACTGTGGCAGAGGGCTGGATCTTTTCCCAGATAGAACTGGCTCTCTCTCCAAAGCTAGGGCTGCAGAAAAAGTTGCGAGGATGATTGGGAACTAGCCATCTCATCCAGTACTGCAGCAAGGTAGTGATGACGGTAGCTGGATGGAAGCATGGATGAAATCAGGCAAGGCCTGTCCACTCCATCCAAGAGTGCAAGAAGGGTCAGAGACTGGTCCTGGCATGAGGACTCAATGCAGGAATCGTTGCTGGAAGTATGAGTAAACAGAAGAAAATTCTGAGTGCAATGAATCAATACTATAGTTAAAAAGAAGCCCCAAAAGACAAATTTAAAAGACAGCAATTCCGCAATAAGTATAAGCAAAGCCTCAGAGAAAAAAAATAACAGCTAACATTTATGTAGCTATTAGGTTTGCAAAATGCTTTATATTTCTAATTTCATCTGATTTTCTCAACAACTCTAGGAGATAGGTGCTATTATTATGCCCATTTTACAAATAAGAAAAATGAAGCATCCTGAAATCAAGTGACTTGTTTGGGGTCACACAACTAATGAGTACCTGAGACAAGATTTGAACTCAGATCTCCATGACATTTTGTCTAGCACTCTATCCACTGCACCATGGTTTGGCAACACTGCCAGAGTAGAAGGAAGAAGCTCATTAAAAATAAATAAGAGCTCATAAGGAAAAAAAATGGAAAGTATAGATGTTTAGAATAAAAGGTGGAAAATAGAATTTGATTAGTGGACTCCATGAAAAATACAGCAAAAGAAAACAAACAAAACTCAGAGAGTAAACAAAAAATGTTTAAAACTAAAATAGTGGGAAAATACTTACTCTCGGAAACAACCGACCTAGAAAACAGGTCAGTGAGAGGAAAGTTGAAAATCACTAGATTGCTTGAAAACCATGACCAACAAACATGTCTGGAAACCATATTTCAAGGAATCACAAAAAAAAAAAAGCTAACTAGATCTTTTAGAGCCAGAGAGCAAAATCAAAACGAGAAAGAATCCATTAGTAACTTTTTGAAAGAAACTTCAAATTGAAAACAACCTGATATGTCATAGTAAAAAAATCCAGAGCTTCCAAGGACAAAGAAAAAAATACTGCAAATAACCAGAAAGAAAGAGTTCAGCTTTGAGGTCTAGTGGATATGAGTTTCACTCTTGCCTTAGACAGCTATGTGATGCTGGGCAAGTTTTTTTAGCCCCACAAGCCTCAATTTCTTCAATATCTATAAAATGGTGGTGACAATCTACTTCACAGGGTTCTTCTGGGAGGTCTAATGAAAAAAGTATGTGGAAAGCACTTTGCAAACCTTAAAGAACTATATAAATGCTATTATTATTCAGTGCTTATCATAGTTCCTGGCACAAAAAAGTACCTATTAAATGCTTGACTGATTGACTTGAAGTCATCCAAGTTGAAGGATCCATAATAGATGCTTAATAAAAGTTTATTGGCTTGATTGACTGATCAAAGTGCAAACTTGAAAGGCTAGGAAGAGGGGGAGAACTAATGATTATGGTCTGAGAGGAGTGGGATGAGACCACTTCAGTTATAGATTCCTAGCATTCACCCCATTCCTTTATTTCCCCACCTCCTTTTGTTTTTTGTAAATTAAGAGAGAGAGAGAGAGAGAGAAGAGAGAGAGAGAGAGAGAGAGAATCAATGCAGTTAGAAGAGAAATACAAGTCAGCTGGGGAAAAATCTTTGCAGCCAATATATCTGATAAACATTTGATATCCAAATGTATAGGGAATTGATATAAATATATAAGAATATAATCCTAAACTTTCCAAGGATGTGAGCAGGCAGATTTTAAAAGAAAAAATACAGACTATCCTCAACCATATGGAAATTTGCTCCACATCACTAATAGTAAGAGAAAATTAAATTAAAATAACTGCTCTTCTACCTCACAGCTTTCATTGCTTGACACAGTAGGCACCTAAATACTTGTTAGTTGGTTGGCCAGATTGGCACACATGACCAAAAGAAAAATGGTAGTTGTTGGAGGGGTAGTGGAAAGACTGGTGCTATGTGAATTTCACCCATTCTGGAAAACAGTTTGGAATTAGACCCCAAAGCCGATGAAATTATGCAACCCTTTGAGAAGTAAAGTGGTTTCCTATCAAAAGGGAATTTATAAACGAATTATGACATAAGAGTTTAATAGATTATTGTTGAGTCATAGAAATTATGAAAGGAATGGATTGAGAGATATCTGAAAAGATTTGCATTGTAAACTCAGCAGAACCAGGGGAACTATTTATACATTGAGTACAGTAATGTAAAGTAAAAGAACTCTGAAAGACTTAAGAACTGGTCAATGTAATGGCCAATCATGACTCTAGTGGACCTAGATGAAACATGCTACCCACTTCATGGCAGAGAGGTAATGGACTAGAATGTAGAATAAGTTATGAATTTTCAGACACAATCAGTGTATTAGTTTGTTTTGCTAAATTATATCTATTTGCTGTGAGGGGGTAGTTATGAGATGGAAGAGAGATTTTGGTGCATAGTGATAACAGAGCAAAAACAGAAGAAGAAAAGAAGGCATAATAATAAAACTTTTTTTTGGTGAGGCAGTTGGGATTAAGTGACTTGCCCAGAGTCACACAGCTAGTAAGTGTCATGTGTCTGAGGCCAAATTTGAACTCAGGTCCTTCTGACTTCAGGGCTGGTGCTCTATCCACTGTGCCACCTAGCTGCCCCCAAAACATTTCTGAAATTATACCAGAGAGAGCAGAAGGAAGCACAAAAAGGCAAATAGGGCAGTTTTGTTCCTATCTTAATAAATGTAATCAATACTTTAAAAACTGTAATAGATGTCGTTTCATACACAATCTTTTTTCCCCCCTATTCCTCCTTTTGGTTAATGCTTGATTTTTAGGATCGTCTTTATTTTGTCATGGAATATGTCAATGGCGGAGACCTCATGTACCACATTCAGCAAGTAGGAAAGTTTAAGGAGCCACAAGCAGTGTGAGTATTACTTTATTTCTGCCATTTTAGTTTAAATGTTCAAATGGAAAAACCCCTTATTGATGTTCTCTTAATTGCCTTTTTTGGTCATTAATATGCTTTGTTTTCTTCTCATAAAACTTAGAAGAAAAATAATCAGCACTAAGGTACTTAATATTTAGATTTAATAAACCAAACTAGCAAACCGAGAACTCGGATTCTGTGTAATTTAAGAACAATATTTAAGATCTGGTCAGTTCACCGTTAAAAACAAAACAAAACAAAACACTGACTATAGGGAAAGTTGCCATTACCAGAAAGTATACTATGTTTAAAAAAAACAACCACTGATACTTTTTTTTTTGATACAACAGACTTCCTAACAAACCCTCAAATAAATCCTGCTATGAACGATGTTGTGATCTGTATTGGTAGAGAGAATGCCCTCATTGATGGGATCAAAGATACCTGCTACCAGTCTGACCTAGGTCAACTCCAGTAACCTTGATGAATCTCTTGGTTTCCTCATCTGTAAAATAAAGAATTAGGCTAGATGTCCTCTAAGGTCCCTTCGAGCTATAAATGCATGATCCTATGATCCTTCTGGCTTTAAATCTACAATCCTGTAATCCTTTGAAATTACTGAACCAAATGACTAATGGAAGACACAAAATAAGGTTGTACAGGCGATGCATTTCAGACATGTTATGGAAATTTTGCTCACTTTTCATTTTTATCCTTAAAAGGAAAGACATATCTGTTTTCATTCTACCTATATATGTGTGTGACTTATAAAACTTTAACACATACGGAGATGAAAAGCTAATGCCATGGCAACTCAGTCCACCAGAGAAAACATTTCAGAATTGCCAAGGATGGTTCTGAAATAATACTTAAAAGCTTTTGGGATCTTTTCCTTTTATTAAATTCAAACTAATGAAAAGCATTTATTTTAGAGATCTTTTTTTTTGCAGTATTTTAACTGTTCACAGCTATTCAAAATTGATTTAGATTCTGTCTGCAAAAACTCCAGAATACCTAGCAGATTTTAACCCATCTTTCAGCATTTCACCTGTGCTTCATAGATTTTACTAATTTGGAAGTAACAATTATTTTAGAGCTATCACATGATTCTAAATGGGACTATAGTTCCATGTGAATTCATGCATGGCCCATCTTAGCCCAGCCTTCCAAGAGGGATCACAACCATTTGTTTTGTCATATACTATACTCTACTTTTAGGAAAGGAATTGTTTGCAATCCAATTCACCACTGTGTTTTCCCTAAAATGCCACTGGATATAAAATGGGAATTTCTTCCCCTTAATATTATATAGATGTGTAAGTCTAATTGTTATCTAATTTGTGTCAAAAAAACATCCTTTTGAAGGCTTTTGAAGAATCTATGTGGAGCCACCTAATAAAAAGTAACATCAATTTACTGAAATAGTCAAGTATCCATTGATTCTGAATGGGCATCAAATTTTAATTTTTAAATGCTGGATTTGGAGGCAGATGACCTGGATTCAAATCATGGCTCTCTCACATAGCAGTTTTTGTTTTTGTTTTTGTCCAAATCTCTTGGCCAAGTCACTTAACTTTTCTGAGTCTTTTTCCTCATCTGCAAAGTGAAGCGTTTGGACAAAGTCTCTTAAACTCCCTTTCAGCACCAACATTCTGTTTTCCTGTGGGCAGATAACAGACTTTCTGAATGAGAGGCAATGTAACTTAGAACACTCAGGTTTCAGTCCTAGCTTTGACACAAGTGTGATCTTTGGCAAGTTCTTTCACCGTTCTGAGCTTCGGGTTCCTCGTCTGTAAAATGTAAATTATACCTGCATCCCCTGCGTCACAAAATCATTATGAGGAAAGCACTTTGTAAACTTGAAAGTGCAATTAAAATGGGGATGTCCTACTTGTCCATTAATTTCCTGTGGGGTACATAAATTGAGGGGGAAAGTTTGCATGATGAATTTGTATAATAAATAACAGGAAGTAGACTGCACATGGCTTGTTCTGGTTAATACCAGGTGTCAAAATCACTTTTAGATTCTTTGATGTTTTGAGTTTGAAATATCTGGGGTGGGGGAAAGGAAGGATGGAGTAGCAACTAGAATGCTATGGATCTCAAGTAATATTTCTTTTCCAGGTTCTATGCAGCAGAGATTTCAATTGGATTATTCTTCCTTCATAAACAAGGGATCATTTATAGGTGAGGACTAGAGCTCTTTTTCTCAGCTATTTATTTGGTAGCCACACTACATATTAGAAGATGGATGATTTTGTAACTTATGTGCTGAAACACAAAGTAGATAAAAGACAGGAAGGAGGGCACAGGGGGCAGAGTTCTAGTCCTTGTCCAGAAACCTTCTTGCCTTGCGATCTCAGGGTAAACATTGCACCTCTCAGAGTCTCAGCTTCCTCATCTGGAAAATGGAGACAATAAGAACTGCACTCTCCCCCTCAGTGTGCGCCTTGTAAATGATGACCTGCTACTTATCTGTAGCTCTAATTAACAGGAATCCTCTCTGAGCTGCCTTTCAGTTTGGTCCTCAGTGGAGAAAGAACCATCTGGTTCCATTTCTTAACTTCAGAGACTTCCTATTTCATTTTTCACTTTCACAAGAAAACATGTTTATGCCCACCAACAATGCCTTTCTCTGCTCTTTTTCTTGGAAATGAGGTCACAGCAAACACTGAAAACCACAAAACTGTTTTCAATTGTATGTGTTTATGTAGAAGGGCAGTATGACAGAGTGCTGTAGTGTCAAACTCAACTAGAAAGTGGGGCCACTAATCTATACATAAGGATCCCTATCTTTTGACTTATTTTTTAAGTGTAATATTATTCATGTTTTATTGTATTTTTATTTATTGTTAAATATTTCCCAATTGGGACGGCTAGGTGGCATGGTGGATAGCATGCCAAGCCTGGAGTGAGAAAAACTCATCTTCCTGAATTCAAATCTGGCTTCAGACACTTCCTAAATGTACGACCCTGGACAAGTCACTTAACCCTGTTTGCCTCAGTTTCCTCATCTGTAAAATGAGCTGGAGAAGGAAATGGCAAACCACTCCAGTATCTTTGCCAAGAAAACCCCAAATGGGGTTACAAAGAGTCAGACACAACTAAAGTGACTGAAATGACTGCACAACAACAAATTTCCGAATTACATTTTGATCTGGTTTGGACCACACTTGGGAGTGTTGTGGGCTGCATGTGGCTCATAGACCACATGGTGGACACCTCAGATGCAGAGAATAAACAGTCTTGAAGCCAAGAAGGTTTGGATTTGGGTCCTGCCTGTGACATACTGACTCTGTGACCCGTGGCTTATCACTTAACTTCTCAATGCTCTGGGCAATTTTCTCAGACTTTTAAGTTGTAGAGATTGTGCTGGCCTACATCAGTAAAGGAATTTTCCCTCTACCAGTGAAATCACAGGTCTGGTTCTTTTTCCTAACTTTTAATAGCAGAATATAGGGTTATTTGGAGGTCTGCGGATGAATGCTGTTGATTCTGATTCTTTATATTAATTAATTACAAGAAGATTCCACAATTACAAAATGATTTTTTCCAATAATAATTTTAAAATAACTTAATTGTCATCTTGAGTTCCTTGAGAGGATACAGGTCCCCTATATTTCTTTGTAAAATCGTGGGGGGAGCAAAACCTCTTATTGTGGGGGAGTACTTACTCACTGGGCCATTTCAATGGTATCCAAGTGGAGTTACAGTGGGACAGATTCAAAGGAAATCTGAGTTTTATCCTAGAATCAAGTGCTGATGTTAATCTACTTCCTTTCAGAGATTTGAAATTAGACAATGTCATGTTGGATTCAGAAGGACATATCAAGATTGCTGATTTTGGAATGTGCAAGGAGCATATGTTAGATGGAGTCACAACCAGGACATTCTGTGGAACTCCGGATTACATTGCCCCAGAGGTAAAGATTTGAAGCTTCAGTCCAATTCTCAGGCACAAGAGGCATGTGCACATTTTAGATTTTCTAAATGTGAACATTTAATTTACCATTTTTGACATCCATTCATCAACCAACACTTTGCACATTTATCCTCATCCACATCTCTTGAAATCTTCCCTTTGACACCCATCTCAAGTTCCACCTGCTATGTGGTACTTTACCTCTATTTATTACCATTAGAAAAGCTAGGTGGTGTAGTGGATAGCGTACTGGCCCTGGAATCAGGAGGACCTGAGTTCAAACCCAGTGTCATTGACATTTACTAGCTGTGTAACTCTGGGTAAGTCACTTAACCCCAACTGCTTCACACACACACAAAAGAATGCTACCCACAATGATTTTTTGTTTATCTTCATGTGTATTTTTTCCCATCAATAGAACTTAAGCCACTGGAGAGCAGAGACTATTTCATTTTTGTCTATGTATCTCAACCACTTGGCACAGTGCCTGCTACATAATAGTATACTTCATCAATGTTTGTTGAACTGAATTGAAGTGAATTCATTTGTTCAGCGTATGTTAAACCTATTTGCAAAGTTTTTTGCTAGACTCTGGTGGAGACACAAAGAGAAATAAGACATGATTTCTGCTCTCAAGGTGTTTACAATCTAATTGGAAAGAAAAGATGCATGCCCAAAGAACTTAGAATATGGCATGTGCTTTAAAAAGGCATGACCCAGAGTGCTATGAACATTCAGAAAGAAGAAATTCCTTCTGGTATTACAGGGTGGGATTGTAAAATAATTCCTGGTCACTTTGAATGACCTACATAATGCCAGGCTTATTCTTCTAATCCTTAACATTCATTTTGATTGCCAAATTCTCTCCCTCCTTTATGTCCCTTCCCCATTCACTGAGATAACAACTAATTTGATACCCATTATACATGTGAAATCATGCAAAGCATATTTCTATATTAGACAGGTGGGAGAAGCAAAAAATAAAGAAAATGAAAATGGCATATGTTTCAGTTTACACTCAGAGTTCATCAGTTCTCTCTCTGGATGTGAATTTTGTGATCTTAATCACTTGTTAGAAATACATACTTTACCAAAGTCTCAACGTACCCTTCAGATAACATTCTAAAGCCACTCTCAGGAGGGGCACAGTTTGAATTAGAATCCTGTGTTGCCTTTGTAAACAACATCCTATCCAGATGTAATCCTGCCAGTTCAGGAGACAACCAATCAATCCAAGCCATATTCAAAACCATCTCTGCTTCATTGTACCAGACAAGTGGGTTATCCAGCTTTTACCTGAAGACCTCCTCTGAGAGGGAATCCATCACCTCCTGAGGCCAGTCTATTCCACTTTGGGTTCTCTTCATTGTATGAAATTTTTTTTCCTGACCTCAAGCCTAAATTTCACTTTTTTGTAGTTTCCATCTATTGCTCCTTATTTGGTCCCTTTGGGACCAAATAAAACAGGTCTGATCCTTCCATATGACATCTTTTTTAAGTCCTGGAAGACTGCTATCATGTCCTTCATCCAGATCAGAAAGTGATCTCTAACTTAGAACTTGAATGGTTGTTTCTTCTCAAGGAAGAGATGCTTCAGTATGCTACCAGTTTGAACAATCAACTTTTCATATCTGAAACCTAGGGAGCACTGTGCTATAAAAAATATAAGCTCTTCTAGCAGTATTTGTTTTGAAGCCATCCAATAGTTGACAGGTGTTAAGCAGAATGTAATTATAAGCTAAGTAATCTTCATTTAACATCTACCAGATGCTTCTTGAATACAAACAAACAAATAACTGTCAGCAGAGAATGGCAGCATTTTTAGGAACAAAGATGCCTCTGGGCTTCATCTTCATTAAAATGGAGTCTGGACTAGTTAAAATATTAACTTTCCAAATACAATAACTCATTTATTTGGCATAATGAGGGAATGCGGCGTTCTCCTCAAGTGAATTGTCCACATATAAAAGCCTACCTCTTTAAATTCCAAAACTTTGTTTTTAGCCATTCTTGAGAAATTTTTCTAAAATACATTATGCTTTCTTGCTTTCTTAAAGAGAAAATGTTGAATATCATCTATGTGCTCTAATAGAGTTTTATACTTAGGTATTCTATCAGGGCTTGTTTATCCTAGCACTAAGTGACCCTAAACTGCTGTGCGTGCATCTACTTTTTGTAGATTTTTTTGTCTCCTTTCTCATTGTCAGGCTCCCAGAGTACCTTCCTCAATCAATTCCCATTCTTCCTTTGATATAAGGTTTCTAATCTGCTATGGCCTGGGAAACCAAATAACCAAATGTTAGAGTTGGTTTAAATTTAAGAATATAGTAAATCCAAAGGAATATCTGAAGGCTTGGGTAAGCTTCAGTGCGTGGATTTGGCAGACATTTTGGGTGCTCAGAGGCCTTTCTTCCTTCCTGTTATTCAGTTATATTCCAGATAGTTGGCACTGCTGGGTATATGACTTCTAAATAATTGAAATGTTGCTGTATTTGCCTAGAGTTGCTTTATGTAAAAACAAACCAGAAGCATGGCAGATGATTTTAAAGGAAAGCCAACATTTAATTCTTTGAAAATGGAAAAGAATACTATAGATTCACCTTAAAGCATATCTTATTTTATAGTCTAGTGAAGCTTACAACATCCACAATCAAGGTTTTAGAATCTGCACAAAGATTAAAATAATTTCATCTTCTTTATAAGTAGATCTGGCAGGCAGAAGCAAAATGATTACCTCATATAGAACTTTCATTAATAACATTGGCCAAGGCATAAATATTTGTGACTATTTGTTTTAAAGCCTTGAAATTGATTAACAGTGTAGCATCTCCTTAACCAGTCAAGAGAGGGGGAGACAGATGGTTGTCACAAGTAGATACACGGTTGGTGGTGAGATGCAAGTATAAGAAAGAGGCACTAATCAGGAAATTATTCCGGAATTGGATATTATATCTATTCCTTTCCCTGACACAGAATTCTTCAGGGGTCAATGAAGTCTTCTTGAGATGATTAAAAGAGAATCTGGATCATTGATCTTGAGATGGATACTATCTCAGTTTCAGGGTATTTTAGTAAACACCAATGGTTAGTGTGTCTAGAAAGGAAGGTGGATAACCTATGTTTACTTAAAAAGCTGCTCAGGGAGAATAAGAAATGAATCCTGTTATCACACATTCTTTCCTATAAAGTATATACAAATAAAGAAGGGAGGTAGCAGCATCAAAAAATAGTGTTTCCCTCCGTTTTGGGTTATGCTAAGTAAATGTTTATTAAGTGCTTAGTCTGTGCCAGGCATGGTGCTCAGCACTGAGGATACAAAGAAAGGCAGAAATAGCCTTGTCCTCCAGGAGCTCACACTCTAATAAGGGAGAAAGAATGTTAAAAATAAAAAAAAATAGGTTATTAGAATCTATAAACCTGTGTGGGGAAGGCACTAATACCTGGGGTCACTAGAAAAGGCTTCTTGCAGATGGTGGATTTTAAGCTGAGCCTTAGGTCAGGAAAACTAAAAGGCAAAGGTAAGAGGGCAAAGCATTCCAGGCATGGAGGGCAGCTGGATATAAAATGACTTGCCCGGGCTCGCAAAAGGGAATAAGCCATAGGATTTTTACATTAGTATCTAAGAAACCTTTTGAAATTATACCATTTTGGGCAGAGCCAAGATGGAGTGAAAGCAGCAGCTTGCTTGAGCTCTCCCCCAAATCCCTCCAAATACCTATAAAAATGGCTCTAAACAAATTCTAAAGCAGCTTAACCCACAAAAAGACAGAGTGAAACAAATTTCCAGCCCAAGACAACCTGGATGATTGAGCAGAAAGGTATATCTCACCGGGCTGGAAGCGCAGCGCAGCATGGGCACGCAGGCCGCAGCAAACCTGGAGCAGTCCTCAGAGAACTGAATCGCGGGAAGCTGTTGTAGTTTCCAGACTCCTCAATCCACGAATGCCAAAGACAACTTAGAAGGTCAGTGGGAAAAGTCTGTTTCTGCGGTGCTGAGAGAGGAAGGTGGGGTCTCAGCTCCATTCCCCAAGAGCATGGCCCTGGGGTGGGCAGCTGCTTCCTGAGCTTCCCGCCCACAGACTGAGAGGGAATTGAGTGGCTGATCAGAGGGGGATTGCAGGGATCTCTGTGCTGGTGCTGAGGCAAGAATCTCTTGCTTTGCCCATGCACGAATCTGGGTCACAGTTCTGGACGGGAGTCCTGGGGTGAGGAGGAGCACTGGCACAGTGGAGCTTGTAGTGGCTATGGACAAGAAACCTTCCTCACAGTCCCAGGACAGAAAGGAGTGCTTGTGGTCACTAATAGACCACAGCATAGGCCAGGAAAGGAGTAAACACCTCGCCCCTTATCATACCACCTTGGAAGAACTAAAAATTTACGGGTCCCAAAAGTATCTCTGAAAACAGCTATATAAACCCCCCAAGCTTGGGACAGTACATTCTCCATGGTGGAAGCAGACTCTTACCTTAACAAAGACTTTAAAACTCAAGTAATTGTCTGGGATCATGAGCAATCAGTGCAAAAAGAGTCAGACTATATTATCTTACTTTGGTGACAAAGAAGATCAAAATATACAACCAGAAGAAGACAACAAAGTCAGAGCTCCTACATCCAAAGCCTCCAAGAAAAATATGAATCAGTCCCAGGCCTTGGAAGAACTCAAAAGGGATTTTGAGAACAAAGTAAGGGAAGTAGAGAAAAACTGGGAAGAGAAATGAGAGTGATGCAAGAAAATCACGAAAAACAAGTCAACAGCTTATTAAAGGAGACCCAAAAAAATACTGAAGAAAATAACACCTTGAAAAATAGCCTAACCCAAATGGCAAAAAAGGTCCAAAAAGCCAATGAGGAGAAGAATGCCCTAAAAAGCAAAATTGGCCAAATGGAAAAGGAAGTCCAAAAGCTTACTGAAGAAAATACTTCCTTAAAAATTATTCAGTTGGAGGCTAGTGACTTTATGAGAAATCAAGACACTGTAAAACAAATCCAAAAGAATGAAAA